TCAGAGGGTGCGGAATAAGGCAAGAAGTGAACTTAAAGAATGAAGCATGGCAAAAGAGGGCAGGCACTTCCTTATAATAAATACATTAGAAAGGATTTTTTTTTTAACGAAAGTAAGATAGAATCGGACCATACTCTTCGGTTTAAGCGATGTTCGCTTAACTGTTCGATTGTGGGGGGGGGCGATGGGGAGTGGGTAGGAATTTAATGTTTGGTCAGCACCTGGTGTACTTGTAAAAGTTGGCGGAGCGAAAATGATTTGGAGTATGTGAGCTTAAGAAGAAAACATCAACAATAAAAAAAATTCTATTCGTGCAGGGTCAGATATAAAGTACTTAAGAGATATATAGATATGCAGGTGGACGCGTGGTTAAAAAATCAGAGTGCCGACCATGGGTTCGAATATTACCATGATCATTTTGTCAAGGAAATGACCTCTTGACATTATCGGCCGAGGGAGACGATCCCAACGTGTGGCACGGTTGGGAAGTGCCTGGATACCATACTTACCCAATCCTTGCCAGAAATTTTTTTTTTTAAATCATTTCACCCAAAGCCAGGCGGTAATGCCACTAAGACGCAAAGGGTTACTGGCAGTGAACTAGAATGAGAAAACTAGTAAAAACTATAAATGAATGAGCTTCGGGAAGACATTGGCTGGCAGGAAAGCAAGAACCGCGGTCTATAGGTGAGAAGTACGTAAAAAGAAGGTGTTAGAATGGAATTTATGGTTGCATCTAGTTAAGTCAGCAATAAAACGATGAGACCTAATTGCCAATCGAGGATTTCGCTTAAATTTCCTGTGGTTGAGGGAGAGGTCTGTGTCACAGATTCAGGGGTGGCGGCACGAAATCCTTGCACCAGGCCTAGAAGTAATATATGTATTTAGAAATAGCAGTGAGAAAAAAAAACACGGTACATTATCCAAAATATTAAAAAAATATATTTAAAAAGAAAAATGGAGGGGGAGAATATCATAAGCATTAACTTCCCTCGATTTGGACTCTTCCGAATTATCCACTTTTAGCTATATATATATATATATATATATATATATATATATATATATATATATATATATATATATATATATATATGTATGTAAGTTTAATATTGAAATTAAAATTTTGGACTTGAGCCAAGTTTCGAAATATAGTAGTTTTTGTGTCGCGATGGAATCATATTTTTTTTAAAAGAATTTTCCTCTTTTAATGTATTCTTATTTAGTCTTAGTCCCGACGTGGGCCACTCTGTTTATTAAAGCCTTCGTCAAGGTACTTCTTTAGTTATGTTTCTTATTACAATAATGTGCTAAGATTTGATGTTCAAATGATTTCTGTGTTGTAATAGATGCCCTTGAAGGTGCAGCCATGTAAAAATAAGGCAGGAAGACATAAAGCAAGATATCTGTTTTAAAAAATAAAGACTATTTGGCCGAGAGATTTAAGTACCAAGAAAGATTCCATTTTTCAAAGTCAAATTTGATTAATGAAAAAAAAAAAAAAAAAAAAAGAACAGGTTGATCTTGTTTCACAACAGAAACTTTCCTAAACATAAATTATAAAAGCAACTTTTTTTTTTTTTTTTTGATTTTGCCTTAAGCAAGGCGATAATGCCACTATGATGCAAGGGGGTTACTGAGAGTGAAAGAGAATGAGAATACTTTAATGAGGAGAACAAACAATAAAAGAACTGAGTTCAGGATGGCGATTGAAGTTGCATTTAAGTTTTTGAAGATTGTAGGGGGTAGGGAAGCAAAAAACCAGAAGAGTTGCACAGGTGAGAAGTGCGAGGAAAGAAATATTATAGATCTAATATTATAGATATTCTCGTGTGCTAGCCAGATATACAATGTCTGTTCAAAGTACATCTAGACGTTGTAAGCGGTCCCTTATTGTGTACTAGCAGTAGAGCCCGGCGTTGCCCGGGGATATAACAGTAAGAGATAGATCAAGTATCGACCATCATAAAGACTGAAAAATAAAATTGACAAAGGTTTAAGGTTGACGGACACACATGTCTTAATTAGTCTTTTTTTTTTTTTTTTTTTTTTTTTAACGAATTGGTCAAACCCAAACTCAAACAAAAACATTGTTTTCAGTCTACCGATTGAATAGAATTTTATTATAAACAATTGTCTTGTAAATGGAATTTTAAAGCATTCTGAATGTAAAATAAAAAAAAAAGTGTGCAAGACAATAAGAAACACTACCTGCCAAAAAAAAAAAAAAAAGTTTTGTTGAAATCGGTTGAAAAATGTAGGTAGCCTTTCTGTAATCTTTTAGTTTTACAATTTATGATTTTTTACTTATTGAATACAGTAAAAAAAAATTGCATATTTTGCTTGTGGGGATTCATAATTAGAATTCTGATTTGAATATATTTTCCACTCGTTGTTTCTAATACAAAAAATATTAACTTTATTTGGGTTTATTAATTATGATCTAACAAATCTTATTCATTTAGTAGCCTTTCTGTAATAATAATAATCTTTTACAATTTATGATTTTTACTTATTGAATACAGTAAAAAAAATTGGCCACCATGTGTATTTAAAGTAGTTTCCGGTTATTATTTTTAGTTAGGAGGACTTGTGTATATTTAGATTTCATTATCTTTCCCTAAAGATAAAGAATTATCCGATGTTTGGATTCGTACAATCAGTAGAGATCGTTAGATTATTGTTTAAGGTTGACGGACACGCATGTCTTAATTAGTTTTTTTTGTTGTTTTTTTTGACGAATTGGTCAAACCCAAACTCAAACAAAAACATTGTTTTCAATCGTTATGAGTCTCCTGATTGAATAGAATTTTATTATAAACAATTGTCTTGTAAATGGAATTTTTAAAGCATTCTGAATGTTAAAAATAAAAAAAAAGTTTACAAGAGAATAAGAAACACTACCAAAAAAAAAAAAAAAAAAAAGTGAATTTTTGTTTTATCGGCTGAAAAATGTAGAAAATCCGATCCCATATAAAAAAAAAACACACTCGCAAACAACCTGGGTTTATAACCCGATGTGAGTTGTCCCCTTTCATTCGCACGACGTCTCTTAATCGTGTTTTCAAATTGATTTTGTGCAAAAACAATTGTATTTTTTCAATTTTGGCGCTGTTAGAACCACCGCAAAGGTAATTTTATGTAGTCCTGTGAAGTTTTGTTGAAATCGGTTGGAAAATGTAGGAAACCGATCCAATATATAAACGTTACACACACACACACACACACACACACACACACACACACACATCTGCGTTTTATAATAAGTAAGATGATATGATTGGTCATCACAGATTAATCATTTACTTAGAACTACATCCCAAAATGCAATTTCTATCTTGCTTCACTAATAGTGTCCCAAGTTTTTGTGTACCTCTTTCTGTTGTATTTGTCAAAATATTTATTTGTAGGCAGACATTTCTTTATCTCTCTTTGCATACAGGAGAGATTTATAATCCTTTATATCTACTATCCAGCGGATATGTATTTTGGTTGTGAGATATGTGACGTTATGGTGATGTTATTTTCTGACCCTAAAACTGCCCACTCATCCTCAACTTTTTCACAATGTTATATTAATGTCGTCTCCATCTGGAAGCAGGAGGAAAAAGAAAAAGAGGGAATATGTTTGGCTTTTTTTAGACTTAAAAAACACAACCTAACAAGCGTTTCTGTCAAAGCCAAGTATGGAAACCTACACATTAGGTTCTCCGATATGGTATAAAACGAAGACGCAGTTTTCTTCGTTGGTGCACCATGGGAATTATCCAGAAAATGTCAGAGTTCATCATATGCGATTAATTGTGATTGAATACATGTTTTTACATTCATTTTAAATCATAGAAGACATTATTGTTATCATGGTAGAGGATTAAGTTATGAGGAACAATTAAACCATTTTGTTAAGGAACCGTCTAGGAAACACGGCACAGTGTAGGTAGGTAGATAGGTAGGTAGGTAGGTAGGCAGGTAGGTAGGTGTGGGATTCTTTTAAAATAATTGATTAAAAATGAACATTTCTGTTATACTTACTAATATATTTATCTACCCCCCACGAGGGTTGCATGTTGCACAAGTCCGGTTTAACGTGGGTTCTCCGACCCCGTAGGCTCGGCCAAAAATATTCCCTTTTGAACCTGTATAAACGGGTTCAGGGGCAGTCTACCTCCACGAACGAGACTTTGCTCTTCGGAGGAGCCTTGTCCGGGTTCCTCTCCGCCCGAAGGCAGAGATTTCGACTGTCTAGCTGGAACAGGTCGCAGCTAGCATATTTAGCTACTACCCCCCCCGCCCCACGAGGGTTGCATGTGGAACAAGGGCGGTTTAACGTCGGTTCTCTGAGCCCGTAGGCTTGGCCAAAAATATTCCCTTTTGAACTCGTATAACCGGGTTCAGGGGCATTCTACCTCCCCGAACGAGACTCTGCCCTTCGGAGGAGCCTCTTCCCGAATGCAGTGAGTTCAACTGTCTAGCTGGAAGAGGTCGCAGCTAGCATATTTAGCTACCCCCCTCGAGTGTTGCATGTGGCACAAGGCCGGTTTAACGTGGGTTCTGACTGTTTAGCTGGAACAGGTCGCAGCAAGTCCAACTAGTCTGTTATACTTACTAATGTCAACTTAGATTATTCTTCTTCTCTTATGTGCGGTATCCCTTTGGAATGTGGACGATCATGGCTCTCCACAGCTTCCTATGTATTTCGCAACAGACAATATTTATCTCCTTCCTAGCCCTGTCAGCCCCTGTTCTAACATCCATTTACACAAGCTCGTCAGGTCGTTTCTGTCTGAATATCTGGCATGTGAAGTTATTATCATTTCTGGTATTTACTTTGGTGGATGTGCGGATGGTGTAATGGATAGCGGCTTGGAATTAAAAAATGCTGAGTACGAATTCCACTCGAGTTTATTACGACGAAACATCTAGAAAGGAAATCATAAAAGAAAAAATCTATATAAGCATTACAGAGATACATTTTGTTGTGGTAGGATCTACCTAATTTGCATTGTGGAGTACCGACCATATAAATATGGTTGGTACCGGGAAGAGAGGGTGGAATCAAGAGATTCAACCAGAGACTCCGCCAGACTGCGACTTAGTCAACACATTCTCCAGGAACGGTCTTCCCAAGAATATACAAAAGACTATATGTAAATATTGTGTACACTTTCTTGTTATTCCATGCATTAGTCAAGTTTCAACACATTTATTCCATGTTATTCAATGCATTAGTCAAGTTTCAACACATTTCATAGCAACAATTTAGATGCACTGGAAGTTAAACATAATCTGACTACAATTTCGACTTAATAAGTCTCAGTCAGATCGGGGTAGAAAACGCATTGACAGTGCGCTAATCTCATAATTCTAAACGATAATCCTAAGATCAGGATCATACATATGAATTATCATAGCTCACCCCAACTTCCAATTCTTTGTAGCTCTGATTAAGCTTTGTCTTTTCATTAGCTTTCCTAATCCCTTTTCTGTCATCTATTTACACAAGAAATAATGGCTCTCCCCAACTTCCTCTCCTTTCTACCTCTTAGTAAGATTTGTTTTTCCGTTATCTCTTCCAACACCTGTTCTGCCATCCATTTAAACAAGCAATAATGTCTCTTCCCAACTTCTTTTCCTTTCTAGCTCTTAGATTTGTTTTTTTCTCCAATCCCTTTTCTGCCATCCATTTGCACAAGCAGTAATGGCTCTCCCCAACTTCCTATCCTTTGTAACTCTTAGTAAGATTTGTCTTTCCGTTAGCTACCCCAATCCCTGTTCTGCTATCCATGTACACACCCTTGTTAGGTAGGTTACTCGCTGCTTTCGTGGGTCTCTCCTGAATTCAATATGTCCTATGAGTGACAAATTTTCCAAGCCATCTTTCCTCATTATGTGTCCTAGAAATTTCAACTGTTGCTTTCTGATTTTAAGTACAGCAAGTAAAGAAAAAGAAATGAAGAAAGCATCAAAGGCACACTGTTTCGGATGACAATGCTGATTTGCTAAAATGTGTTGAATGTTTTTTTTATTACCCAACCTCAAAGCAATTTTAACTTTCAACACAACTCAATGATCAAAGAGAATTTTATTGGAACAGTTAAGGTGCGTGACAAAAAAATTACAGCATTTCATTTAGCGTTGTTACGGTCAAGGTAGTTATAACTGGCATTATAAGGAGATCAAACATTTATATGTATATATATATATATATATATATATATATATATATATATATATATATATATATATATATATATATATATATATATATATGTGTGTGTGTGTGTGTGTGTGTGTGTGTGTGTGTGTGTGTGTGTGTGTGTGTGTGTGTATTATAATTGTTTTATTTTAAATATATATTCATCGCAACACCGAAATTCCCATGTTTCAAAACTGAAAATTCAATTTAAATTCAAGCATACAAATTAAACTTAAAATACAAAGTTCCGTTCCATTATCAAGCGATGCTAAGAATAACATTTTAGAAATTGACTTTCTTCATTTATAAGTCCAGAGAAATTTGTTATTTTGTGATGTTGGGTTTAGGGAAAATTCTATCTTTTTATTTTTTAGGGGGTTTAAGCTTTATATATATATATATATATTGTGGGACTGGAAAGAGAGTCTTCAACTCTGAGATCCTCCCGTGAAACCAGAAGATTGAAAAGAATAAGTACTGTTCCACTGATTATTTGAAGATGGATGGAATGATGACTGTATCTGAAAGATATTGCATTCAATAACGATGATAAAATTTAAAGGCAGGTGTATTTTTTAATTTTATTTCATGTTAATCCATATATTAAATATTTCCGTTTGTGATGAATATCCATTACAATATTCACTACAATTAGAAATAGTTAATATACTGATTAACCCCTTGAAAAGTGGACATACAACCACGAAATTTCGGAGTCGGACAAAATTACAGTTAAGTAATTTCTTTGCATATATATATATATATATATATATATATATGTGTGTGTGTGTGTATGTGTGTGTGTGTGTGTGTGTGTAAAATAATATTATCATTGGTCTATTTTTATAATACTGTGCACTATGTGAAAATATCTGCTTCACTTTTAAATCTTAAATCCTAAATTTTGAATTTATATATATATATATATATTAACGATATATAAAGAAAAATTTAAGGAAACTATTTCTAAATTTTAAATTCCCAGCGTCGGTAGTTCGTACGCATGTGTAGTCCCATCTCCATAAACATAATCTTAGTCCGATAAATTTGTGTGTTTATGTCTGTGTGTTGTAGCTGCTTTCTTGTTTCCCAGTGCACACACCGTTTCCTTCAACAGGTTCACCAGAGCACAGTAAGAATGCGGGTTTTTCAGCCCCCCCCTCTCTCCCTATATATATATATATATATATATATATATATATATATATAATTTAAAAAATAGCAGATATTTATATATATAGTGCTCAATATTAAAATTATTAAAATAGTATTAAGAATAGAGCGTTAATAATATTATATAAAAAGATTACTTAAATTTTAAATATCAATTTTATCCCGTCTCCCGTAAAATTTCCAGTGTAAAGGGGTTGTGGTTTTAAATAGTATACACACACACACACACACACACACACACACACACACACACACACACACATATATATATATATATATATATATATATATATATAGAATAGAAGGTTGGTGTAAATGGAATAAATTTTATTTTACTTGCAACACCACCATTTGACAAGACACCCGAAGTGTTGAAAGAAAATGGCTATTTTTGCAGTGATGTTATAACATACATATGTTATAGTTTTTAAATAAATATATTATATATATATATATATATATATATATATATATCGCTCAAGTATAATTCTAGTTATTTTAAAAAAAAGCCTATGTGGTGTGTGTGTGTGTGTGTGTGGTAGTTTTTAAATCTTTTGCCTGCATCCTGATATTGATTATGGCTGAAAAAATCAAAGTAGAAACTGAAAACTAAAAATTTCTAACGTTCATTGTTTCTGCATCTTCAGCTCGACATGATTAGAACTGAAGATCGCGTTTCTTTCGCCCCCTCTCCCCAGTTAGACAAAACATTACTTTTCTCCCATTAAGTTCATCTAGAAGTCGAAACAGAATTTTTCACTTTATTCAGTTGGATAGCATTCGTCTTACTCTTATATAATGATTTTCCAAGCGTAGCTTAGATGTGGCACAAGGCCGAAATTAGGGGGCACCCAATGAGGATCGAACTCACTACTCAGTCGCAATTGTTCTAGCGAGCCAAGCTTGGTCTTACTCTTATATATACAAACATATACTATGAACAGACAGAGATAGATAGATAGATAGATAGATAGATAGATAGATAGATAGATAGATAGATAGATAGATAGATATAAATATATGAACATAAATATATATATATATATATATATATATATAGATAGATAGATAGATATGAACGGACATAGATAGATAGATAGATAGATAGATAGATAGATAGATAGATATGAATTGGCTAAATACATATGAACAGAAAGTGATAGATAGGTATATAGATAAATATGAACAGACATAGATATGTAGATAGATAGATATGAATTGGCTAAATGTACAGAAATGGATAGATAGGTATATAGATATGAGCAGACATATAGATAGATAGATAGATAGATAGATAGATATGAATATATGAACATAAATATGGATAGATAGCTTGACAGATATGAACATAGATAGATAGATATGAATTGGCTAAATAGTTATGAACAGAATATATATAGATATGAATAGACATAGATAGGTAGACAGATATGAACAGGCATAGATAGATAGATAGATAGATAGATAGATAGATAGATAGATAGATAGATAGATATGAATATATGAACATAAATATGGATAGATAGCTTGACAGATATGAACATAGACAGATAGATAGATATGAATTGGCTAAATAGTTATGAACAGAATATATATAGATATGAATAGACATAGAGATAGGATATGAACAGATATGAATAGATAGATAGATAGATAGATAGATAGATAGATAGATATATGAATATATGAACATAAATATGGATAGATAGCTTGACAGATATGAACATAGACAGATAGATAGATATGAATTGGCTAAATAGTTATGAACAGAATATATATAGATATGAATAGACATAGATAGGTAGACAGATATGAACAGGCATAGATAGATAGATAGATAGATAGATAGATAGATAGATAGATATAGAGCTTGACAGATATGAACATAGACAGATAGATAGATATGAATGGCTAAATAGTTATGAACAGAATATAAATATGAATAGATAGATAGGTAGACAGATATGAATAGATAGATAGATAGATAGATAGATAGATAGAATATGAACATAAATATGGATAGATAGATAGATATGAACATAGATAGATAGATAGATAGATAATGAAAAGGCTGAGATAGATAGATAGATAGATAGATAGATAGATAGATAGATCTGAAGTGAGTTCTATACAGATAAAGAATGACGAAGAGGACAGACAAAGAGCGCGAAAGATGGAATTAGATGAACGCTTTTATAAACACACTGTGGTATATTGTCGATGACTGACAAGAAAAGACAGTGAAAGAAAAAGCAAAGAAATGAACTGAATGAGATCGGTGACAAGATTCCTGCTTATAGGCTCTGGGTTAAGAGCTTGAAGCTGAAAATAAACAAAAGAAGTAAACGTGAAACAAGTGTCGGTTAAAATGCCAGAATTCATTCCTTTCTCCCTTCTTCACTTCTCCCGGGACCCGAAATGTTTCCATTATAAACAGCTTACACTGAGTGGGGCCAGTGAATCAGTACTTCGGAGCCAAGGGGCTAAGTGCTTGAATTTAAATTTCATGAATGTCGATGCACCGTTTAACCTTCTTTCTAAACGCATTCGATAATGTAAATATAATAATTATTGGGGCGATTATGATGGGATAATTCTCTCTCATTCTGTCTTTTATATATATATATATATATATATATATATATATATACTGGACTCTCCCGCCATGTTTGACGTATGGAGTCCAGCAGCTCAGTTCTTAGAACCAACAGTCAGACTACTCGCACATAGCATTTAATTGTAATGGTGAAGGTGAAGGCTTGTGCAGAACCAACCACACTTTTTTAGAAGAGTTAAATACAGAGAACTGCTGCGTAGTATGCCACAAGACCTTCCGCAGGGTTTGAATCCAAATTTGTCCTAGACCAGTTACCCTCTCAGGTTATAGAATCCAGTCTGTCCTGCTATTTACCCATAACTCTGGGAATGGGGAGAAAAGATGGATTCATAACTTTCCCAAGGATATTAGCACGTAAGTGAAGGTAATGAACTCGACTGGAATTCGAACCTCTGCTCAGCGATTCCTCAGTCTTAGCTGGTATCCCATATATATATATATATATATATATATATATATATATATATATATATATATATATATTTTATGAAAAACTAGGTAATCCGTATGGGTAAAACCCAAGGAGGATAAAATCCAGAGAGCTCAATGTAAATCCAGAGCAAATAATTTAAATAAAAACAGACCACTTTAAGGTTCCATGTAATAAATTATTTCACCACAGCCCTTTTTAAAGGACTGCGGATCATCAGACTTTACTTCCAAGTAATGTAAAGTCTGATGATCCGCAGTCCTTTAAAAAGGACTGTGGTGAAATAATTTATTACATGGAACCTTAAAGTGGTCTGTTTTTATTTAAAAAATATATATAGATATATATGTATATATATATATCGGGTGTAATAGCAAAATTGTCCAAATTTTGTAACAGCAAAATTGTCGAATTGTTAGAACGAATTACAGCGTTCAATCCGAAAGTTCAATCACCTGAAGATGGCTGGAGTGTGCAACGGCCGAAACATCGTGAACATGACAATAAAGATGAGGGCAACAGTCCGAACAATGTAAAGATTATAAAAAGTTACAATACTTCATCTCAGAAATATAGACACTTTTAAAAAAAATACCCACCCATGTAATATATATATATATATATATATATATATATATATATATATATAAATATATTTTACATATAATATATATATATATATATATTTTATATATAATATATATATATGAAAATTTCTCAGTGTTAACCTGTAGAAAAAGACAGTATATATAAAGTCCTCATCTTTGTCGCAATATTTATCACAACATTTCGGCCGTTGTACGCTCCAGCCTTCTTCAGGTGGTTGGAATGTCGAACTGAACCCTTTATTTCGCTCATTGGGGTAGACTATTCTAGTTCCACTTGCCATGTCTAATGGATGTCAGTTATTAGTTATCTCCTGCTTAATTCACTCTCCAAGATATCCTCTGCCTTAACCAGGTATTGAACTCACACTCTTTGGGTCTTGTCACTGGATCTAACCAACGCCTTTATTCACAAAGATAAAGGCGTTGGTTAGATCCAGTGACAGAACCCAAAGAGTGTGAGTTCAATACCCGGTTAAGGCAGTGGAGAACTTTCAGAGGGAAATTAACAGGAGATAACTGATATCTGACATCCATCAAAGCATGGCACGTGGAGGAAAATAAAGTGAGGGAAATAAAGGGTTCAGTTCGACATTCCAACCACTTGAAGAAGGCCGGGGCGTACAACGGCCGAAACCTTGAGATAAATATGGCGACAAAGATGAGGACAATAGTCCGAATAATGTAAATAATGTACATAATACCTTATCTCAGAAATATAGACATACTATGTATAAAGGTAAAAGAGAATAGGAAAACTGTGTTATTAGCCGACGCGTTTCGTCCAATGTAAACTTCTTCAAGGCAAAACGAAATGAATTTATTAAAAACAAGGTAACTATTAACAACAAAACAAAATGTTCTTAGCAACGAAAAGAGTTTAGAAAACGCTATTGTATTCATATTGTCAACTGAAAATTAAGCCAAGTACTGTTAGGTGTGGAAATAGTGATTTTTTATTGTTGTGTTGACGGATTCAATCATTTTCTTTTGATTTCCTGATACAGTTGTGTGCGTTTGTTTGGGAAAGTAGTAAAGAAGTATCCCTTCCGCAGAAATATTCATATTTGGTAATTTTTTCAAGTTTTTGAAGGTGTTCCCAACCTTCAACGGTCACTCGTATATATATATATATATATATATATATATATATATATATATAAAAGAAAAGAACGGTAAGATATATAATCCGGTGTTCTTATAGATATTTTTATTATTACAAAATAGTGCTCAATGTAAATTTACAGAGCATAATATTATAAATTAATTGATTTAAAATATGTTTTTTTCCGCTACACAGTTCTAACCATGTTTCAAAAATAGAAGCTAAAATTCGGGGCTTTTAGCTTCTATTTTTGAAACATGGTTAGAACTGTGTAGCGGAAAAAACATATTTTAAATCAATTAATTTATAATATACACACACACACATATATATATATATATATATATATATATATATATAAACCTACTGAGCCAGACAAACCTACCCAGGTTTGTCTGGCTCACTAGGTTTATCTAGGTCTGCTCTACGGTTGTATTGAGCTCTTTTTTTAGTTAGTTGTTTACTCGTGTCGAGTTTTTTTTCTTTGGGCTTTAAACCTGTATCTGTGCGATTTTTTTCGACAGGCTTTCATGTTTCTAGTTCTTTTTTTTTTAAACCTTTTTTTCCCTCGAGATTGATTTGATTATTGGCAAATCAAAAATCCGATGGTTTTTCGAAACGAGTTTAGTTACCTATATATATATATATATATATATATATATATATATATATATATATATATATATATGGATCCGAACACGTTTGTTCGAAAAAAACCGATAAGATCTGTTTACTTCTTTATTGCATTTTTCCGATTCTCAACAAAGTGTTGTTTATATGTGGACAAATAACAATACAAACCTGAATGTTAGTTTATTCACACATAAATAATTAGCCGCGCCAAGACACAACACACATGGCCTGAAGATTTACTTCAATCAAGAAACAGACTGTCGCCATTGGCTGTTGGCCTCAATGTGTGTTTTATATTTATATAAGCTCTATCTCTGGCATTGAGAACTTTAACCCATAAATATAGCATACCTCAAAATATATTTTTATCACACACACACACACACACACACACACACACACACATATATATATATATATATATAAGCAAATATATGAATATAGATCCGACAGTATGAAGAAAAATATATACAAAAGCAAACAAAAATCCCTATATACAATTATGCTGTTTTAATGTTAATATGTCAACATCGGACGTTTCGGTCTAATAGACCATCTTCAGGACATATTCATAAATTATAACATTATCAATACAACATGACAAAGACGGTGTACATAAGAACAAGACTTATCCAAACAGATAACTGAAAGTTTTATAAGATCAGCGCTCTGTTTAAAACATGTTCACGTTGTCGTCACGTGGGCGACGCTATGAAAACGTATTCCTAAAATTTGAGTATTTTGAATGAAAAATGAAAAATGAAAAGAATTCTATTTTGATCTAAAATTTATATGTACGCTTGTCGAGCATTAATCTCGTTAGAAAAGGGGAAATACTAAAGAAGCCAGGTCTAGTATTCACCGTGCATGAGATGGATATTATGCCTGCTTCATAAATCCGCCTAAGATTTTTATTATGAAAATATTTTAAAATCTTCACGGAATCAAAATCGAAATTATGATCTGCTTTAGTTGTGTGTACAACTAAATCATTGTTTAAATTTCCGAGGCGAATATCTCGTTTGTGTTCGAAAACACGAGATTTTACGGACCTACATGTTTCACCCACATATTTTAAGTCACAGTTGTTGCATGAGATTTGTAGATGCAAGCATCGGATGTAATATGTTGGTTGCTGGTTTTTTCCGTATATATTTTCTTCATATATATATATATATATATATATATATGTTTGTGTGTGTTCGTGTGTGTGTTCGAAATAGTAAGGACAAAACCAATAAAATAGACATATCTTTGGAAAATGCATCAACCACAAGGCCAAATGAAGTTTAGGAACGAAATTCTGTCATGAAAGATTTATGTTAAAAAACGAAGGCAAAAAAAAAAAAAAAACGGAAATTTCCGAAAGTATTTCTCCGATTTAGTATATCGTGAATGGGCCTCAAAGTTAAGTTTTTTTGCTTCCTTGTCAATGAGGAAACCAAATGTGGTCGCTTAGGGAAGATAAGGTTAATGGCTCTTAATGGACTAGATCTTACTGTGAAAAGGTCCCGTGTATGGTTAATCTGTTTGCCATCAGCTTTGGTCTATCCCAGGCGACACTTGTGATAGCTTATTATTGGAAATGGGAACTTATTTTTCTGTTCAACTAATAATCAGATGAAGATAAATGACAAAAAAAGAAACAAGAGAGAGAATAGAACAACAAGACTGGTGGCAACAGGTGCTTTCGGTTTGGGGCAAAAAAACTCTTCCCAGACTCATCGAAAACGTACCGAATATAAATCCAGGATCTTCTCACTGATTGACCATGTCTCCAGGGGTGCAGCCGTTCTCATCGCGTTTTCTCATTTGCCGGTTGGTGAGGCCATAGAGGTTTTGAATTAAGAGTTGTCCTAGACGGGTTGCCACCCAAGGCTTTAGGACCTACCCTGTTCTGCAATTTACCCATATCTGATTCATACCTTCCCAAGGATATTTGCACGTCAGTGAATATAACGAACTCTACTAGAATTCGAACTCGGCTCTCCGATTCCTCAACTCACGCCGCTATTCATTACTCCACTGTGCTTCGCTG